CCAGCTTCATGCAAGTCAACAATTCTTGATCGTAGGTCTTCTGATAGCTCTTTTCTGCGAGGCATGGTTCACATCAGACAGTGCTTCTTGAAACCAGTAAACCCAAAACAGGTGTGTGTTTTTTAAGGGCAGGACAGCTGTCAGCAACATATCCAATATCATCACATTGATTGGAGTCAAGGTTGGCTCACTCCTGGCTCCAATTAGCTCTGGGAGAAGTCATTAAGCTAGGGCCTCACATAATTTTTCCTCCCTGCACTGTGAATGTTTACATGTTATGTGCAATTAAACAATGGCAACATCTAATGTTTGTGTAGTATTATGTTCAGCAGACTGTGTTCTTCTATTGTTGTGACTTAGATGACGTCAGAGCACATTTTATGCCCAATTCATGCAAAACTCCACGTAATCCCAAGGGGTTCACATACTTTTTCTTGCAACTGTGTGTATATATATATATATATATATATTACACTATATTTAAATACTTTCAACATTTTATTATTTCGAAATATTTTATAACGAGTACAATGAAAAAAAAAAAAATACAGAAAAAAAGTAAAAATAAAATACAGATCACAAACCTAAATAAGGAAAAAAAAGACAAATAAGAGTTAATTCACTACCATCTGATTTTTCCAGAAAATACAAAGATGTTCAAAAATATCTAAAAAAAAAAATATATATATATATATATATATATATAAAAATTCCATAGCCAAGATGTAATATTCATAATATATATAAAAACCTTCTGTGGCAGGCCATCCTAATCTACCCAAAAAAATTGCCCGACATTTATTATAGATTAAAATTGGAACGTGGTGCATCTATCTTTTCTTCTTCTTTTTTTTTTTTTTTTTCATATTCTTTCGAACTTTTGAGGGGCATTACGTTGGGTGTAGGTGTATTTCTCAAACTTTACATATATTTATCCTTCCCCCAGATCCAGTCCTCAAGGGTAGGATAAAATGTCGATAAATGGATATTAAGTGAGACCCAGTGAGAGGCTATTTGCTTAAATGCTGTAAAAAGTGATCTTACAATAGCCACTACGTGGTTCTGATGCAAGTTCTTAAAATTTACACACCCCTGTAGGCATAGAACAGGATTTGTAGTTAGCGCAGCGTCATATACAAAATTCAACTTATCTAGCACTTTCTGCCAGAACGGATGCATAACAAAGCCAGCAGATTGAATTCATCTCAGAATCTTCTCAGAAAGTCAGAGGATCCTTGAAGTATTGGGGTCATTTGGAATCTTCTCAGAAAGTCTGGGACACTAGGATCCTGGAAATACTGGGGTCATTTGGAATCTCCTCAGAAAGCCTGAGACACCAGGATCCTTGAAATATCAGGTAATTTGGAATCTTCTCTGAAAGTCTGGAACACTAGGTTCCTCAAAATATTGGGGTCATTTGGAATCTTCTCAGAAGGTTGTGGACACGAGGATCCTTGAAACATTGGGGTCATTTGAAATCTTCTTAGGTCTGGAACACTAGGATCCTGGAAATACTGGGGTCATTTGGAATCTCCTCAGAAAGTCTGGGACACTAGGATCCTTGAAATACTGGGGACATTTGGAATCTTCTTCTCAGAAGGTCTGAAACACTAGGATCCTGAAAATACTGGGGTCATTTGGAATCTTCTCAGCAAGTCTGGAACGCTACGTTTCTTGAAATATCGGGTCATTTGGAATCTTCTCAGAAAGCCTGAGACACCAGGATCCTTGAAATACTGGGGTCATTTGGAATCTTCTCAGAAAGTCTAGGACACTAGGATCCTTGAAATACTGGGAACATTTGGAATCTCCTCAGAAAGTCTGGGATACCAGGATCCTCTAAATATTGGGGTCATATGGAATATTCTCAGAAAGTCTGGAACACTCTGTTCCTTGAAATATCGTGTCATTTGGAATCTTCTCAGAAAGCCTGAGACACCAGGATCCTCAAAATATTGGGGTCATTTAGAATCTCCTCAGAAACTCTGGGATACTAGGATCCTCTAAATATTGGTGTCATATTGAATCTTCTTAGAAAGTCTAGGACACTAGGATTCTTGAAATACTGGGGACATTTGGAATCTTCTCAGAAGGTCTGGAACACTAGGATACTGAAAATATTGGGGTCATTTGGAATCTTCTCAGCAAGTCTGGAACGCTACGTTCCTTGAAATATCGGGTCATTTGGAATCTTCTCTGAAAGTCTGGAACACTAGGTTCCTCTAAATATTGGAGTAATTATATTGGGGTAATTTGGAATCTTCGCAAAGTCTGGAACACTTGGATCCTCAAAATATTGGGCCATTTGGAATCTTCTTAGGTCTGGAACACTAGGATCCTGGAAATATTGGGGTCATTTGGAATCTCCTCAAAGTCTGGGATACTAGGATCCTATAAATATTGGGGTCATATGGAATCTTCTCAGAAAGTCTAGGACACTAGGATCCTTGAAATACTAAGGACATTTGGAATCTTCTCAGAAGGTCTGGAACACTAGGATCCTGAAAACATTGGGGTTGTTTGGAATCTTCTCAGAAAGCCTGAGACACCAGGATCCTTGAAATATTGGGGTCATTTGGAATCTTCTCAGAAACTCTGGAACTCTACGTTCCTTGAAAATATTGGGGTCATTTGGAATCTTCTCTGAAAGTCTGGTACACTAGGTTCCTCAAAATATTGGGGCCATTTGGAATCTTTCTAGGTCTGGAACACTAGGTGTTAGGAATGGACTGGCCAGCAATGGTGGGACTCACCTGCCTTTTGATCTGCAGTACCAGGGCTGGCCAGCGGGTGTTCCCAGCAATCAGAGACTCAACTCTGCAGCCAACTAACACCTGTAACTGATGATGCTGGGGTATTTAAGGGATGGCCAGACCCACAGACTCTGCCTTGGTGTTGTGTTTGTCCTGGGCCCTGTATCTGTCCTGCATCCTGTTTCTGTTCCTTTGCTGACTTCTCCTGCTCTGATCCTGGCTTGTGACCCTGACCATCCCTCTGTCTGACCCTCTGTACTACGCTGCTTGCTACCTGTTCTGATCCCTGGCTTGTGACCCTGACCATCCCTCTGCCTGACCCTCTGTACTATGCTGCTTGCTACCTGCTGAACCTGGCCTGTGACCCCGACCATTCTCCGCTTGCTCCCCCTGTACCTACCTGCCCAATTGATATTGACCCGGCCTGCCTGACGACGCTTGCTTGTATGTACTGTTATCTGTGGGTGGTTTGGTTTGGTTTGTTTGCACTGTATTATGTTTTAGTAGTGCACTGCGTTTATGTTTGTACTGTTAGTGTTAATAAATTATATTGTTTATAACATATCTGAGGTCTGCGTTTCCCTGCTTCAGTCACACACCTCTGGTCATACCTGGGAGCCCTGACATTACACCAAGGCCAATCCTGACCAGAAGTGGCTGCACAGGGAAGCCATCTTGGCTTGTTGATGGGAAGGATGGATCTTGATGAGGTTGAGTATTTATATCTGCTAGTGTTTGATGACAGGGAGTATGCTTATCAAACTCTGAAGGAGTATACCCGGGATGAATTGCTAGAATGTATACGGCTCGCTCATGTTCTAGTAGATCAGGGCACAGTGTTCTCTGAGGTGCAGCCATTGATTGAGGTTTGTGCAGAGTTGGTTTCATCTGGTTCCCCCGAATGCAGGGATGAATTTTTGCCACCATTTAGTGCAGACCAGGTAGAGTCCCTGGTGTGGTTATTAGAGGATGATGTGGGTTACTTTCTGGAGCGTTATTCCACATGTTCACCACAGACACTAAGAGATTGTATAAACGCAGTGCAGTCATTGACCAGACAGGCTTTGTGTAAGCTCAGCTTTGTTCAACCCCTACTGCAGACATGGACAGACTTGTTGCACCCAGCCTCAGTCAGCTTACAAAGACCCAGTCCTGCTTCTAACTCTACTCCTGTATTCCCACCAGCTCCTCCAGTTACAGCCCAGTATACTTGGCTATCTACCGCATGTCAGTACCCTGTTCCCACTCGCTGCACCTATCCTGCCTTTAACCCTGTAAAAAAGCCCTCTGTAGCAACTGCTCCCTCTCCTGTTCCATCCTCCAGTTCTTCTCTGTCTCCAGCTGCTCCATTCGTTTGCAGACCTGCGTTTACTTGCAGTGCTCCAGTAGTTAAAACCAGAAAAAAGCGAAAATTCTTTCCAACCAATACCATCCTGCCAGTATCCAAACCGGTGAACCTGCCTTCCGTGGTTCAGACTGATGCCTGTACGCAGCCTGATGCCTCTACTCGGCCTGATGCCTCTACTCGGCCTGAAGCCTCTACTCGGCCTAATGCCTCTACCCAGCATGATGAACTGATCCAGCCTGACGATCCTATTAGGCCAGTTGACTCGATGCCCGCTGTTGATCCAGATGATCCGGTACCTGATCCGGTGCCCGCTGTCGTGCCAATTGACTCAGAGCCCGCTGTCGTACCTGGTGACTTGGTGCCCACTGCCTTGCCAGATGACGCGGTGCCCGCTGGCAAGCCAAATGACCTGATGCCTGGTGACCTAGTGTCCGCTGTCATACCTGATGACCCGATGCCCGCTGTCGAGCCAGACAATCCGGTACCTGATGACCCGGTGCCCACTGTCGGGCCTGTTGACTCGGAGACCACTGCCTTGCCAGATGACGCGGTGCCCGCTGTCGAGCCAAATGACCTGATGCCTGGTGACCCGATGCCCGCTGTCCAGCCAGACGATTCAATGTCTGCCCCAGTGCCCGCGGTCATGCCAGTTGACTCGGAGCCCACTGCCTTGCCAGATGACGCGGTGCTCGCTGTCGAGCCAAATGACTTGATGCCTGGTGACCCGATGCCCGCTGTCCAGTCAGACGATCTAATGTCTGACCCAGTGCCCGCGGTCATACCAGTTGACTCGGAGCCCACTGCCTTGCCAGATGACGCGGTGCCCGCGGTCGAGCCAAATGACCTGATGCCTGGTGACCCGATGCCCGCTGTCCGGTCAGACGATCCAATGTCTGACCCAGTGCCCGCGGTCATACCAGTTGACTCGGAGCCCACTGCCTTGCCAGATGACGCGGTGCCCGCTGTCGAGCCAAATGACCTGATGCCTGGTGACCCGATGCCCGCTGTCCAGCCAGACCATACAATGTCTGACCCAGTGCCTGCGGTCATACCAGTTGACTCGGAGCCCACTGTCGTGCCTGGTGACTCGGTGCCCGCCGCTCCGCCTCGGGGCCCGAGACCTGTTGCTCCGCTTGGGGGTCCAGCGCCCGCCGCTCCGCCTGGGGATCCGGCGCCCGCCGCCCCGCCTGGGGGCCTGAGACCTGTCGCTCCGCCTGAGGGCCCGAGACCTGTCGCTCCGCCTGGGGGTCCGGCACCTGCCACTCCGCTTGAGGGCCCGAGACCTGTCGCTCCTCCTGGGGGTCCGGCGCCCGCCGCTCCGCCTGAGGGCCCGAGACCTGTCGCTCCGCCTGGGGGTCCGGCGCCCGCCGCTCCGCCTGAGGGCCCGAGACCTGTCGCTCCATCTGGAGGTCCGGCGCCCGCCGCTCCGCCTGAGGGCCCGAGACCTGTCGCTCCGCCTGGGGGTCCGGCGCCCGCCGCTCCGCCTGAGGGCCCGAGACCTGTCGCTCCGCCTGGGGGTCCGGCGCCCGCCGCTCCGCCTGGGGGCACGATGCCTGTCGCCCCGCCTGGGGGCACGATGCCTGTCGCCCCGCCTGGGGGCACGATGCCTGTCGCCCCGCCTGGGGGCCCGGTGCCTGTCGCCCCGCCTGGGGGCCCGGTGCCTGTCGCCCCGCCCGGGGGCCCGGTGCCTGCTGCTCCGCCCGGGGGCCCGGTGCCTGCTGCTCCGCCCGGGGGCCCGGTGCCTGTCGCCCCGCCCGGGGGCCCGGTGCCTGTCGCCCCGCCCGGGGGCCCGGTGCCTGTCGCCCCGCCCGGGGGCCCGGTGCCTGTCGCCCCGCCCGGGGGCCCGTGCCTGCTGCTCCGCCCGGGGGCCCGGTGCCTGCTGATCCGCCCGGGGGCCCGGTGCCTGCTGCTCCGCCTGGTGGCCCGCTGCCTGCTGCTTCGCCTGGTAGCCCGATGTGCCTCTGCCCGGAGTCCTGCCCGATGTGCCTCTGCCCGGAGTCCTGCCCGATGTGCCTCTGCCCGGAGTCCTGCCCGATGTGCCTCTGCCCGGAGTCCTGCCCGATGTGCCTCTGCCCGGTGTGCCTCTGCCCCCGGAGTCCTGCCCGATGTGCCTCTGCCCGGAGTCCTGCCCGATGTGCCTCTGCCCGATGTGCCTCTGCCCGGAGTCCTGCCCGATGTGCCTCTGCCCGGTGTGCCTCTGCCCGGTGTGCCTCTGCTCGATGTGCCTCTGCCCGGAGTCCAGCCCGATGTGCCGCTGCCCGGAGTCCTGCCCGGTGTGCCAGTCTTTGATATCCCGCCAGTTGCCAGACCCGGGCGGTGGAACATTTTGCCCAGCTAGGACTGTTTGGAGCGTCCTGAGGCCGCTCCTTGAGGGGGGGGTACTGTTAGGAATGGACTGGCCAGCAATGGTGGGACTCACCTGCCTTTTGATCTGCAGTACCAGGGCTGGCCAGCGGGTGTTCCCAGCAATCAGAGACTCAACTCTGCAGCCAGCTAACACCTGTAACTGATGATGCTGGGGTATTTAAGGGATGGCCAGACCCACAGACTCTGCCTTGGTGTTGTGTTTGTCCTGGGCCCTGTATCTGTCCTGCATCCTGTTTCTGTTCCTTTGCTGACTTCTCCTGCTCTGATCCTGGCTTGTGACCCTGACCATCCCTCTGTCTGACCCTCTGTACTACGCTGCTTGCTACCTGTTCTGATCCCTGGCTTGTGACCCGGACCATCCCTCTGCCTGACCCTCTGTACTATGCTGCTTGCTACCTGCTGAACCTGGCCTGTGACCCCGACCATTCTCCGCTTGCTCCCCCTGTACCTACCTGCCCAATTGATATTGACCCGGCCTGCCTGACGACGCTTGCTTGTATGTACTGTTATCTGTGGGTGGTTTGGTTTGTTTTGCACTGTATTATGTTTTAGTAGTGCACTGCGTTTATGTTTGTACTGTTAGTGTTAATAAATTATATTGTTTATAACATATCTGAGGTCTGCGTTTCCCTGCTTCAGTCACACACCTCTGGTCATACCTGGGAGCCCTGACACTAGGATCCTGGAAATATTGGGGTCATTTGTAATCTCCTCAGAAAGTCTGGGATACTAGTATCCTCTAAATATTGGTGTCATATTGAATCTTCTTAGAAAGTCTAGGACACTAGGATTCTTGAAATACTGGGGACATTTGGAATCTTCTCAGAAGGTCTGAAACACTAGGATCCTGAAAATATTGGGGTCATTTGGAATCTTCTCAGCAAGTCTGGAACGCTACGTTCCTTGAAATATCAGGTCATTTGGAATCTTCTCTGAAAGTCTGTAACACTAGGTTCCTCGAAATATTGCGTTTAATTATATAGGGGTAATTTGGAATCTTTGCAAAGTCTGGAACACTAGGATCCTCAAAATATTGGGGCCATTTGGAATCTTCTCAGAAAGTCTAGGACACTAGGATCCTTGAAATACTGGCAATATTTGGAATCTCCTCAGAAAGTCTGGGATACTAGGATCCACTAAATATTGGGGTCATATGGAATCTTCTCAGAAAGTCTGGAACGCTACGTTCCTTGAAATATTGGGGTCATTTGGAGTCTTCTCAGAAAGTCTAGGACACTAGGATCCTTGAAATACTGGGGTCATTTGGAATCTTCTCAGAAAGTCTAGGACACTAGGATCCTTGAAATACTGGGGTCATATGGAATCTCTCAGAAAGTCTAGGGACACTAGGATCCTTGAAATACTGGGGACATTTGGAATCTTCTGAAAAGGTGTGGAACACTAGGATTCTGAAAACATTGGGGTCGTTTGGAATCTTCTCAGCCTGAGACACCAGGATCCTTGAAATATTGGGGTCATTTGGAATCTTCTCAGAAACTCTGGAACGCTACGTTCCTTGAAATATTGGGGTCATTTGGAATCTTCTCTGAAAGTCTAGAACACTAGGTTCCTCGAAATATTGGGAATCTTCTCAGAAAGTCTGGGACACAAAAATTCTTTAAATTTTGGGTTCATTTTAATCTTCTCAGAAAGTCTTGGACACTAGGTTCCTCAAAATATTGGGGCCATTTGGAATCTTCCTAGGTCTGGAACACTAGGATCCTGGAAATATTGGGGTCATTTGGAATCTCCTCAGAAAGTCTGGGATACTAGTATCCTCTAAATATTGGTGTCATATTGAATCTTCTTAGAAAGTCTAGGACACTAGGATTCTTGAAATACTGGGGACATTTGGAATCTTCTCAGAAGGTCTGAAACACTAGGATCCTGAAAATATTGGGGTCATTTGGAATCTTCTCAGCAAGTCTGGAACGCTACGTTCCTTGAAATATCAGGTCATTTGGAATCTTCTCAGAAACTCTGGAACGCTACGTTTCTTGAAATATTGGGGGGTCATTTGGAATCTTCTCTGAAAGTCTAGAACACTAGGTTCCTCGAAATATTGGGAATCTTCTCAGAAAGTCTGGGACACAAAAATTCTTTAAATTTTGAGTTCATTTTAATCTTCTCAGAAAGTCTTGGACACTAGGTTCCTCAAAAATATTGGAGTCATTTGGAATCTCCTCAAAGTCTAGGTCACTAGGTTCCTCGAAATATTGGGGTCATTTGGAATCTTCTCAGCAAGTCTGGAACGCTACGTTTCTTGAAATATCGGGTCATTTGGAATCTTCTCTGAAAGTCTGGAACACTAGGATCCTCTAAATATTGGGGTCATTTGGAATCTTCTCAGAAGGTCGGGGACACTAGGATCCTCTAAATATTGGGGTCATTTGGAATCTTCTCAAAAAGCCTGAGATACCAGGATCCTTGGAATATTGGGGTCATTTTGAATCTTCTCTGAAAGTCTGGAACACCAGGATCCTTGAAATATTGGGGTCATTTGGAATCTTCTCAAAGTCTGGAACACTAGGTTCCTCAGAATATTGGGGTCATTTGGAATCTTCTCAGAACGTCTGGAACACTAGGATCCTCAAAATATTGGGGCCATTTGGAATCTTCTCAGAAGGTCGGGGACACTAGGAAACATTGGGAGACCTGGCACTAGGAACACTAGCCGTTTCTCAGGCAATAGCTGAGGGAATAAGCCAAGCTTAAATAGAAAGGGAGATGGGCCTGGCTAGGCTGGGACTAGGCCCTTAGCTAATTGAATCAACAACATACGAATAACTAGTCGAACACAAGTCTGCCCACTGGTATGGGTTGGCAAGTTCTGCCATGGAACGCAATGATGGAAGATGCACCTCTGTAGAAATGACACCAGTCTGTTGTTCGCTCGATGGTAGCAACTGTGACAGAGTTCACGTCATTTCATAACAGACGCATCCTTGGCTGGAATGTGATGGGGATCTTCAGTGTGATGATGACTTATCGATGCAATCCTCAGAAGACTGTACGCAACTTTGGAGTAAAGGCTGCAGTTCCTCTATTCTCCACTAGGTATGACCTCAAGAGCGCACAGACAGGAAGTGATGCCGATGTATAAAAAGGAAGTTCCGGGTGAGAGGTGAGCCAGGAGGAGGTTGAGAGGAGACATTGGTGGAACTGGCAGCAGAGGAGGTAATAAGATCTTATTTCATATTTACACCCAGTAACCCTCCCGTCATGTCTGTCCTCTTCCTCCATCGTCATGTCTGTCCTCTTCCTCCATCGTCATGTCTGTCCTCTTCCTCCATAGTCAAGGTGATGTCTTTTATCTCTAGCAGATGATGATACAAATATAGTATAATACATAATTTTCTATTAATACATTCTATAGCTGTAACATATGCCATAGTGCTGTACTGAGAATACTGAGCTAGTCACGTCAACCTTTGGACCATAGAAGCCAAATATGTCTCCACCACAGTCATGAACGAACATTTTTTATATATATATTATATATAATATATGTATGTGTGTGTGTGCAATATAGGTTTCATCAAAAAGCCATGTTCCCCCTTAAAAAAAAAGAAAAGAATAAATTTACCAATATAAAAAACAATTTGCATTGATTACTTTTTTGCATTGGACCCAGCAAAAGATTGCAATCATGATCACTGGATCGCAAGTGCAATGCAATGAAAAAACTGGAGAGACCTTTGGTTATGGAGCTGGAGAGAGTACGGACTTTTGGTTATGTAGCTGGAAGAGGTACCGACCGGACCTTCAGTTATGGAGCTGGAAGAGGTACAGACCTTCGGTTATGGAGTTGGAAGAGGTACAGACCTTCAATAATGGAGTTGGAAGAGGTACAGACCTTCGGTTATGGGAGCTGCAGTAAGTACAGACCTTTTGGATAAGTAGATAGGGGGGTAAGGACCTCTGTTTTTGGAGCTGGAGGAGGTATGGACCTTCGGTTATCGAGCTAAGAGGCGGTATGGGCCTTTGGTAATGGAGCTGAAAGAGATACGAACCTTTGGTTAATAGAGGAGGTACAGACCTTCAGTTATGTAACTGGAGGAACAAACCTTTGGTTATGGAG